GGGGGGGGGGGGGGGGACCCAGGGAGACTTGAGCAGGTATTACCACTTTAAAAAAAAAAAAATGTAACTTTATAGAAAACCTTTGACCTTCAAAAGCAGTGCATTTGGAGACTTCCTTAAGATTTCCAATTCCACCATTGTACATAATCTCGCCATAAAATGCTTGTGGAGAACTAAAATCCACAAAGCGGGGTTGAAATAAGGGTGCTGGAAGGTTGGGAAGGTCCCATCAGCTCCCCCCACCATTCCACCCTCATTCCTACCTGCATCTCCCACACCCCAGGCTCACCCCAACAACATTCAAATGTGTTCCACCCAGAATGATCAAATTCTGCATGCCATAGAGCTTCAGGATCGTTCCTAGACAATTGAAACTTCAAATGTTGAATCCGTGAAGCCTCAAGCCTTCTGCATTCTGACCCCTCTTTGATTTTGAATTTCATGTTTGTGCAGGTTTTTTGTTGTTGTTTGTTCGCTTTTTAAAAATTTTACCACTAAGGAACCTTTGAGAGCATTTGCTGCTGGCAGACACTTCTTGACTTAGTCTAGAGACATAGGGATTATATAAAGAGGAGAGCTGAGCTGAGAGGACAAAAGAGTGACCATGATAAGTGTGTTTATAGCCAAAGCAAATTTGGCTGAGCAAATAAACATTTTTTAATGGTGGAATTAATGAATTTGGCCTTGTGTTTTTTGCCCTCTTGTCTATTTATATATTTACATGGGTTGATTATAATACATAGCATAGATCTGTGTGTGTTTCCATATAGGGATATCCTGCAAGCTGAATGCCATTCAGGGCCCTATGGATTTAAACCACGTCACAGTTGGTGTAATCCTTGGGTCAGAGAAAGCAACAGCTATTTACCGTGTTTTAGAAATTATGTTCCAAGTTATAATTAATTGCATCTACCCAAATTTGCTTTCTTTAATGCATAAGAGGTCAGTACTTTTAAATATTGTTATTATTACATCAGAAACCAGTGAAGCAAAAGAGCCTGGTTGTTGATCCCCTTTATTTCTAGAACTAACTCTTGGCACAGTGAATAAACTGGCCTCTCCAACCACCAGGAGCTCTGTCTACATGAAATCGCTGAGACCCCAGCAGGCACTAGCACTTTAAAGAAGGGTGACTTATTATTTTACTGAGCACTAAGTTTATGTTCTTTACTTGGCCTCAGATCCATCCCAGAATCAGCAGGTATCAAACCCACCAATGCACATTTCAGAAGATGTGAAGCCAAAAACCCTCCTGCTGGATAAAAGCATTAACCATCAGGTTGAGTCTCCGAGTGAAAGGCGGAAGTGAGTAACAAGACAAGATGGACGTGGAATTCCTTTTTTTAAAATGTGTTGATTTAAAAGGGGAAAAATTTTTAAAGTGTGAGATAGGAAAATGTCAGCAGCATTTTTGTGCTTTCTCTCCTTTTAACCTCATTGACAAGATAACATATTAGGCTGGCTGGTTAGCTCAGTTGGTTAGAGCACGGTGTTGATAACACCAAGGTCTAAGGGTTCAGATCCCCGTACTAGCCAGCCACACATACACATACAAAAATAATAATAAAAGGATAACAAATATTTGTGGAAGTTTGAGACAATCTTCCTGGCGAGTAAATAGTTACTCTGCATTTATCAATTTGTAAGAGGCAAAGTTGTGTTTTTAACCACAAATCTGAACATTGGAAAGCAGACCTGCTATATAAGTAATTTATTTAAGTGAGTTAAGTTGTCTCAGAGCCAACTCAAGGAAAAAATTGTTATTCTCTCATTATGATCTTGCATTAAAGTAGCTACCCTGGGCTGTATTCTAATTTTGTAAGAACTGTATTTTTTTATAGTAATAATAGTTTCTATCATTTTTGAAGCACTTGAATATAAAAGACACTGTGATGAATTGTTTGCATATATTTCTTTCCCCTTCTTTTCATATATTAACTAACTGAACCCTCCCAATAAACTTGTGAGGTGGTTGTTCCTATTTTACAGATGAGGGAATTGAGGCTCAGGAAAGTTAAATAATTTACCCAAAGTATTTGACTGGTTAAGTGGTAGAGGAACTCAAAG